CTAACATGCTAGCATAGAATGTTGGCATCTGAGTTCATTTAAAATAAATTAACAAATGACTGTGAAAATTTAGCCTTTGATAGCTAATTAGTTTCATTCACCAATTCACAAAGTAACAGAATTGTTAAATTGCAGATGGGGACATATGGCATCCTGCACCATTTCTACCAGCTACTACCTAATCCTGCTCACTATTTCTATCCAAATAATCATCCCATCATTCAATGCCTCCATTGAACCTGCCTACATATTTCAAGGCAGTGCATTCCATACCCTAGCTGCTCACTGAGTTAAAAAGCTTTTCCTCACTTCACGCTTGCTTCTTTTGCAAATCACTTTCAATCTACACCCTTTTGTTCCTGTTCCCTTTACAAGCCAGAACAGTTTCTCCCTATCTATTTTATTCATTCCACCCATGATTTTGAAATCTCCATCAAATCTCCTCTCTGCCTGCTTCTCTTCAAACAGAGCAGTCCCAACTTCTTCAGTCTATCCTCATAACTGATGTTTCACATTCCTGGAACCATTCTTGTAAATCAATCCTGCACTCTGTCTAATGCATTCTCAGCTTTCTTATAATGTAATGTTCACAACTGTACAAACTACTCCAGCTGAGGTCTAGCAATTCCATTCTGAGGACCATTATCCTATGTGTGCTATGTACAACAATTGTAAAGACATTCTATATAAATGGTCTTACAAATTTACTAAATACCATGCAGAGGAAATTTCTCACCTATCATTTTGATAATTATCCGCTGATCTACAGCTGTTTTGATTTTGTTCTTTAAAATTGTACATTGATTGAATTTTGACCAGATTTTGAATTTGGATGGTTATGATTCCTCCAAATTGGTAAGTATTCTTGATTTCTCACCTCTTGATTAATCCTTAATAACTACAATATGTAACCTATCTTGCGATACTGTTTTCGCACTAATTTATTTATAGTATACATCTAGACATTATATTTAAGTTACAATTATATTAGTTAATAATCACTTAGGGAAATCAACTCATCCAGTATGCGCCTTTGAGGAGAAAACTGAATTGTATAAATTGGTCTTGTAATGCTCAATTAAATTTAAGGAAGAATTTTAAATTGGTTTAAAAAGTTACAGTTAGAATATTATTAACATAAAAATATATTTTATTAACGTATTATTTAAGCAGTACATTTTTATGAGTTGACCATACACTATAACTTGAAGTTAAGATTACAAAACTTTAGCAGAAGGCCATTGTGGAGGATTTAGGTTTTTGCTTGTCCTCAGTCAAGTTCATGCTTTGCTTCCTTTTTGGGCTGTTGAAAAATCCAAACTAAAGTATAACCAATGAACTAAACAGGACATACATTGAATTACATTTTGTTGACAGTGTTCCTTTGACATTAACTACTGACTATGCATTGTTTAGGCAGCTGTGAGTAATAAATTATATTTTCAATTATTTAATATAGGACTGGCACCAGAATTGGCTTTGGATGGAAAACCATATACAACCATCTTGTATGGAAATGGACCTGGCTATGCAATCAAAAGTGGCACACGACCAAATATAAACTCCACTAATTATTGTAAGAAAATTTGAATTTTATATTTGTTGTAGTTACATAGATTAAAATGAGCATTATAGTAGTACTCAAATGCTAAATTTGTTATTCAATGCTAATTCTACCACACAGAAAGTATTAATTAGCCTTTTTATAATGCTATTCCACATTTAAGTTTATAGTATTTTCGAGACACAGGTGAATGAGTTAATTTGGGATTAATAATTCAAATTTAAATTAATTTAGAATAAAAACTTTCCTTGCTTTCTGAAGGATTTAGTCTGGCACTGATTCATTAGACCACTGCAAGTAATTAATATGAAGTTCTATATCTTCTTGAACTTCCTTAACTTTGTTGCATAGAACAAACCAATTCTTTCTTCTCACAGTTGATATTCTGGGTGTACATAGAATACATGACAGCAATCATGGGGATTTGCAGCAGTCTCCATCTTCAGACCGATCTGTCAGAATACTGACACCCATTATAACTAAGCCACATTTCATTTATGCTACTACATTAGAGCATTTCCTGCACATATGAATGGAAAGGCATTAAGACCATTAGTGGCTACATCGTGGGTCAAATGCACATGTGCAAATGGGGGCAGGAGTTAGAATAATTGAACATTGAATATTGTCAATAATTTGATCAAGGGAGAAAGGGATAAGACTGCAGATCCCACCAGATTGGAAAGCTGCAAAGGTAATGCACTGTTCACAAGAGGAAGCATTTAAATTTGATCAAAATTCAGCTGGAGGGAAACCTCTTCAACCAAGCACAGGGACCTTGAGAGATGCTGCCAGCAGCCCACATCCCCGTGTTAGAGGAAAATTAATTTTGCCACTTTATTCTTCTCCACACCCACCTCCTGGAGTTGCTGTTGAGGAGGACTCCTACATTCAACTGGTGGCCTCCCGTCCTGGTGAGAGAATAGAGGCATCTGGTTGACATGCAACTGTTAGAATAGTCATTAATGGACCATATGTATATTGAAATTTGCTTCTCACCTTTTTCAGATAGAAAGACTGATGGCAGTCATTTTCCCAAACACGCAACTGTATTAGGAAACCATTTCCTCCCAACTTCCCATATTTTACTGGCTCCGCTCCCCTACTTCCTTTGGAATTCTCTTCCCTAGAGAATGGTGAAGGCTAGGTCCCTGGATATATTGAAGGCTGAGTTTGATAGACTTTCAATCAGAAGGGAGTCAAGAGTTACGGGAGACTCGCAAAAAAAATGGAGTTAAGGTCACAACTAGATCAACGTGGTCTTATTGAATGGTGGAGCAAACCAAAAGGCTGAATGGTCTACTTCTCCTATTATGAACTCATGACATAGAGTGGCAGAGGGGTGGATGTGCAGACAATGTGGGAGGGGAGGTGGTAAATGAAAAATGGGACAGGGAGAATGTGAACAGGAAAGTAGGAGGGAAGAAATAGGATGGGGAAGGAGAAGGATATGAAATATGGAGCAAGACAGACTTTGGAACGTAAAAAGGATTTCACACTGGCTTTAAAATTACAGACCTAGAAAAGAGAAATGGGTTGAAGCCAATAGGAGTACTTTGGCAAGAGAGAAAAGTTGGCCATGAGAAGAATACAATGCTCTCTGAAGGCTTAGGTTGGTTCCTCCAAGGATTGTAGTGGAAATTACTGTCACCTGCAGGCACAAGACACCTTGTTACATCTGCATTGGTCTGACAAGGTGCAAACTAACTTGAATAATGACACAAATAACGTCTTTTAGGCAGTCCAGGTACAATGATGGTAAATAAGGACTACCAAGAAATATTACCAACAGTGGATGGAACTGAACTGGTTCTTAGTCACAGAGGAGCAGGGGTACAATTACTTTCACCATGTCAGTAGTTTTGCAATGATTACAGCATTTAGATTTGATTGTGGTTATATATTGTTCAAATGCCTGTAAAATGAGCTAGGAACTAATTAGTCGGGAACCTATTGTATGAGTAATGCTTCAGGGACCACATTCACGGCTCCACTGGAAAGGTAGACTTTGTGTAACATGGCCCTGGCTGAAGGCAGTCTGCTAGGTTGACAACAAAGTAAATTGTGTTTAAGATAAATAGCTCTAATCTTTCCAAGCAGGAATCAAACAAACAGCTAGAAGACAGAACAATGACAGATTGTAGTTACCAGCTTTCTTAGTTCTGAGCTGCAGACTGTTAGAAATGAATTCTCATGTGAATCACAAGTTAAATGTTCTATGTAGACACAAACACACAATACAATTGTACATAAAACTCAACACAATACAGTGGCCATCTGTTACCTGCACACAATGTAACCAAAAAATTAGCTCATGAATCAAATAACAATGGAATTGTTTTGAAGAGTTTGGGGGAAAGTAATTCTGTGTAGTGACTGGGTTATTTTTCATAAATGTAATTTGGCAAGATGGTGTAAGTGGAACAACTTGCAGTTGTATAATGCCTTGACACAATCAGAAGTCCCAAAGTGCCTTATTTCAGTACAGATTGTACCAAGCAGTGTAATTGAAATATTAGAACAGGTAACCAAACGTTTGATCGATGTTTTTGAAGAAGGGGAGAAAGATATTAATGTAGAGAACTTAATGGAAAGTGGAGTTGAAATGTTGAAGATACTGCAACTGAAAATGGGGTGGTGTGAAGCAGACATGTGAAGGGACCTAAACCTGTGGCTGAAGAAGATTATATTGATTAGGTGGTGATAAACAATGGAAGCATCTCATGAGATTTTCTGTCATTTGCAGACAGCAAGAATTATGAACAACAAGCTGCTGTTCCACTGGTTTCAGAAACTCATGGAGCAGAAGATGTGGCAATTTTTTCTAAAGGCCCCATGGCTTATTTGTTCCACAAAACCCATGAAGAGAATTACATTGCCCATGTGATTGCATATGCTGCTTGTATTCACCCGTATACAGAGTGTCCACCAAATCCCACCACCAGCAGTGGATCCTCACTCCAGCCAATGAAACTTCTCAGTATTTTACTAGTGACACTTTATTTTCTCAAGCATTAAAGCATCTTTAGTTGCCTAATATATAATGTTTAACTGCCTTAAAATTACAAATTCCATTTAATTCTACAAATAATTGAAAAGTAATTAATACTTCATCATAACTCATATTTTGTATTCTTTTCTGCTTATGTAGCAAAGGAAATATACTTTCTTTAATATTTGATATCTTTGAAAACTTGTTTTATTTTATTAATTCATGGATTATGGGTGTCACTAGCGAGGTCAGCATTTACTGCCCATCACTAATTGCCCTGGAGAAGTTGTGGTGAGTTTCCTTTTTGAATGGCGGCAATCTATGCATTGCTGCTGGGTAATGATTCCCAGATTCTGACTCCACGTCAGTTAAGGATAAGCAATATATTTTCAATACAGAAAACGTGTGACTTGGATGGAACCTGTAGGAGATGGTGTTCCCATGCATGGACTGTTATGGAACGCTAGGGGTTACAAATTGCAGGTAGAGAAGGTATTATCAAAATAATAATTAGTCAAAGTAAATAGCAATAGAATAATTGTAACTGTGGAATAATGCATGAATTCACAAATCATTAAAGTATTAATTATGTGCTATTTGACTTTTTCTTTCAAAATATTGACTAATTATGATTCACTTTAGTCACCAAAAGAAAATTAGAGTATTAAATCTGAGGTTGCTGTTGGAAGTCAAAGGAGACTTGTCAGTCCAATTCATAAATTGGTTAGTTGAGGTCACTATGAAACAATACTTTCACTGACCATCAACAGAACATCATCCAAAAAGAAACAATCAAGTTGGTCAAGTTAGACAGGATCCTGAACCAGGTTGCTTGCTTGGTTTGCTTGGTTATCATCAAACAAATATTCTGGGATTTTGGTCAGCAAAAAGGGTCTCACCCACTGCTCAGAAAGTCAACAGGGTATCTCAGTCAGTTCCATGGAGAAGGCCTATTGGAATCAAGAACCCTTCATGGCTGAAAGCCTGGTGGTGAGGTCCTGCCTACTTAGACACATTGGCCAATCAGAGGACAGCAGCTCACCATTGTTGTCAGCTCCAGTGGGGCAGTGGTGGCTATTGGTGATGCCACTACCTGTGCACAGATTAACTAAGTGATCCCAGGGTATATTTGAGTCAAAGCTGGATGGGGGTCACATGGTAGGTCCTGTGGAACAGTTGGGGGGAGCCGAATTTGAAGGCACGAGCAAAGAGGTCAGCATTCAATGGTCACCCTCACCCAATGCCATGAATGAGCACACATTTCCTGATAGCAAGGGATCCCTTCCCATACCACGCACTCCTAACCCAGGAGGTTGCTGGCCAACACAACACGTTTTGCTGGGTGGTTTTCTGCAGTTGGTGGAGACCAGTGCAGCCTATTATTAAATCCCTGGGCCACCATGACTTGTGATAGGCACAGGGTTAATGAGCCTAATTGACATCCCAGGGGTGGCTAGGAATCTCACATCAGTCCCTTCCACCCTCTGATACAATGGGATTTTCCAATCCCAAGTGAGTGACATGGGGCCTCTCACAACGAAGTGGTCCCACCGCTGTTTCCCCACTATGACGGATTTTGTAAAACCTAGCCTGTAGTCCTAAAACGTAAGATTCTGATAACTTGATCTATCTATTGAATATTGAAAAAATGCTCAAGGATTTGTAGTTGCCTCTATGTGCTTTGTTGCCTTTTCTTTTGTAAATGGATACCACATTAAAATATTTCCATTCTGCCAGTTCCTCTCAGATATTCACTGTCTCTCTCTTTTCTTGGTTCATAGCATTGACATTCTCCTGGTATTTGATTCCTGTATTTATGTCTCTTTGGATTGGATTTACCTTCATTATCTCATGTGGACTAAGTTGCGATCATAAAGAAAAACTGATGCCCACTTCCTTTTGAGCTTCTTCTTTCCTTTTAATTATAATCTTCTTTTGTGCCCATGGTAGTTCTGCTGTAGTTATGCTGGATCTTCATCTTCAACACTGGTGGATTTTTAAAAAATATATATATTTGGGTGTTTCCATCTAAAGTTTCATTGAAGGCACTTGTAGGATTCCACAAGCCCAGCTCCCTTGAGGCTACCATCCATCCTGTTTTTTGTGTTGGAGATGTTGGTATTAGATAGAGTAGACTTGGTTGCCTATAGAGCCAGGCTGAGATGACAACAGTGGAAAGACTGTGACAACCAGCAGGCTGGAATGTCCACCTCTGTTTACCTGATCATTAGTCCAGTTCTAATCATGACTGTCACGTCCTCAAACCCATATCCTTGACCCCCATCCACCCATACCTTACTGTACCTCCCATGTCTCCTCTATGCTGCTCACATCTCTCCTTCCCTCTTCATGCCCCAATATCTTCCATATCTTTGCAGTACTCTTATGATTCTTCCACACACTCCCATGCAACCTCCATACTTTCCCATTATCCACTATGTACAAAGCCCAGGAGATATTTCTAAGTCTGGAAGGTCTTTGAAACTATGCACAAACTGACAACATAGGCAAATGCTTTGAAAAGCTCAGCTTACAGCTTCTTAAAAATGCTAATCAACCACCACCATTCACAGTACCAACATCAAAAATCTTGGCAGGGCAGGATTCAAATTCTCAAGTCCTGGATTACGAGTCCAGAATAACAAAAACTTGGTGGGGGGGGGGGGGGGGGGGGGGGGGGGGGGGGGGGGGGGG